TTCAAGCAGGCACAGACAGCACTAACAGCCAGCATGCAAATAGTTAAATAACCCTTTGTGGCACGAGGGTTACTCGTGTGGCAGCTGGCCAATGCTTGCTAGCCTGCTGCCACAAGTGTAAAAATAAAAAATAAGTCTAAAGAGATAAATAAAACACCCATATTGCTACAAGGGATGCTTATAACCTCTATTAGCTCCCCAGCAGGTGGGACTTTGAATTCTCATTAGAGTGCTCTGTTTAGATGGCTCGTAAGCCAACCAATCAGAACACTTTGACAGACAAGACAAAATATGGGTTCATCGTTAAATAGCTTGAAGTTGAACAATGTCCAGATTTATCATTTTTAATGGCCACATACAGCATGGAATGGGTTTACCCAATTTAGAGTTAAATAAATTACCCTGCTAGTCTCTCAGAGACCTTGTGTCTGAGGTCTTTGTTTGCCTTGGGATATACATAGCAGTACATTTCAAAATCTCCCTCACACTCAAATTGTTGATTCACTGTTTACTCTCAAAGTCTTCTTGAAAGTTTCAAGGATGCCCACGCCAAACCGAAGCCCTGCAAGACTCTATTTAAACACTTATAATGGTCACTAGTGAAGTAATAGAATTTCTGAAGTTTAAGAGACTTAACCCCTTCCTAACTAATGGTCCATCAGGATTGTCATGATAAAGATTTTGTCCAACCCTGAATAGGTTAATAGCAGTAAGAAAACAATCTGTGTTCAGATAGTTAATTTCAAACTCTGCTAATACTGTTTATTAAAAAGGACATTTACTTATATCATATGGGTTATACTGTTTCTATATCTTTAAAAACTATACTCTTCTTTTTAATTGCATCCCATGAAAAAAAAAAATTAGAAAATTAATTTCTTTGAGAAGGTGCTGTTAGCAGCCTCTAAGTGTACAGATATACACATTCATTCTCCAAAAGCATATACAAGGTGGGTCAAAATTTAGAGTAGGATTTGAGAGCTCATTTAAAAGATGTCATCTTCCATACCTAGTCAAACAAATCTCCATACATTAAAGGAGCACTACAGTGCCGGGAAAACAAACTCGTTTATTAGGTCCCCCCTCCCTCAGGGCCCTCTCCCGCTGGACTGAAGGGATTAAAACCCCTTCAGCCACTTACCTTAATCCAGCGCCAGGCTCCCTCGGCGCTGGTGACCTCTCCTCCTACTGCCGATGTCAGCTCCAAATGCTCATGCATTCAAACCGCCCATAGGAAATCATTACTCAATGCTTTTCTATGGACGTCAGCGTCATCTCAGTGTGATTTTCACACTGAGAATCGCAGAAGTGGCCTCTAATGGCCTCCCTAACCACTAAACCACTTGAAACTCACCTTATCAGCAAGCGCGCTGTCTTGGCGTTATACTTGATTCTGGCCTCACATTTGTCTGTTACCAAATCCTGTAGATTCCACCTTAAAAGCATAGCCTGCATCTGCCCCTTTCTTAAGCAAGATGCTTGTCCATGCTCTAGTAATCTCTTGCATGGATAATTGTAACTCTCTCCTAAAAGGTCTTCCCACAAGTCGTATTGCCCCACTACATTCATTAATGAATGCTGCTTCTCCTGTCGCTCCTCTCACACCTCTCCCCTCTGGCAGTCCTTATATTGGCTTCCTGTATCCTATAGGAGTCAATTCAACGTACTGATCCACACTTATAAAGCACTGACCAATTCTAGCTCGTCCTATATCTCTTTACTGATCCCTTCTCAGTCTCTTCACTCTGCCCATGACCTTCTCCAGTCCGCCGCTCGCACCTGTACAGTGAACTCACGCTTGCAGGACTTCTCGCGGGTGGCACCTTTCCTTTGGAATAGCCTGCCTACGACCATCAAGCTCTCCCCTAGTATTCAATCATTTAAAAAGTGCCTCAAAACCCATCTCTTTAGGAAAGATTATGACCTCCCAAAGTAACCTCTACCTTACATGCTTGCCCCTTGCTCTCTCCTAAAGGGCAGCACTCTATTCTCTTTTCCAGCTCTGCTTTACTCCAACTTGTTTGATTGCTACCTCCTGTCCTGTTGTGTTTTCGCCCCACCTCCTATAGACAGTAAGCTTGTTTGAGCAGGGCCCTCTTCAACCTATTGTTCCTGTAAGTTTTTGTAATTGTCTCAGTTATTGTTAAATCTCCCTCATTTGATAATATTGTAAAGTGCTACGGAATATGCTGGCGCTATATAAATACCAGTAGTAATAATAATAATAATGTACTTGTACAGCATTTCTCTGTAGATGACTGAGCATTCATAAGTATGTCCAGGAAAATTTGAGGTTTAATAGATTGTCTCCCTCTTTGCACATTTTCTTTTAGGATAATATTCCTGGCACAGTTGTGTCTATGGATAATTTTTTCTGACAACTAGACATAAAATAATGAATAAGAAATGTTGATGCTAGGCAAATATCATGGTCTACTGCTACATCCAGGTCCAACACATTGTTTCCAGATTAGGATTCTTTTTAATGTTTTGGGAAGATAAGATGTTTAAGTTCTACTGGAATGTAACCTCCAAAGACATCGGCATGTATGCAATCTAGCAGCTTTCTGACGTGTTGCTAGAGATGCTGTTGAGGTACAGAGCATTATACAACAGTATATATACAAAACAATTTTGACTATAAAACATAATAAACCAAGCAACACTGTAACATATAGGGGGCAGATCTCATTCTGTCAGACACATTTTGTGCAAATTTATATTTGTTCAATCTCCTCTAACCCCTGTTTCTTGCCGTGAGTATCAAGTGTAATCCAGTCTTTTCATATGCTTTGTTTTGCCACTAGGAAGCAAATTTCATGCAGTCACAATGTCTAAGGTCTCATTCTACTGAAGAAGGAAAAGACATAATAGAAAACCATAAAACTGATCTCACCCAGGACGTAGGTCTCCTAACCTCGTTTATACAGTTGTAAAACCATTTTACATTGGCTTTAGCATGTTCTAATTTTTTATTGATCTAACTTGAGCTGAGTATTTAATTTTACCCATAATAACTTATATCTTGAGTTAAAGAACCACACAGACCACTTCACTTTAACAAATAACCACTTCATTTTAACAAATAACATTTTAACATTTTAATGAAGTGGTCTGGGTGAAGTAGTCCTTTAGTATTTTTTTTAGAAAACACTGTTTTCATTGTAGGGTTCAATCCATCTATAGAGGCTGTCATACCGACAGTGACTACAGGCGCTTAAGGGGCACTGACCGAGTAAAACGATGTGGAAGCTTAGATGCACGCAACACTCATTGCGCATGCCTAGTGGGTTCCTCAATGCTGCTCTTTGAGCAGCATTGGATTTGACCATCGTGGAGGAAGCTATGCCTCTGCCATGAATGATGCTGTGTGAGGTGAGATAAACAGTGCTAAGGGAGCATTGGAAAAAGATAAGTGATTTATTTTTTATATTTGTATCACTAGCATGAGGGGACTATATTTTTATGGACATGGACACTAAAGAATTAGGAATACAGCATTCTATTCCTCACACTCTGATGTTCCATTTACTTGGATTAAGTACCTTTCTGGTAGATCCAGAGGTCAGAGTTATAAGTGGAGCAAGATTCTGAGTATGTGTTTCAGGAAACCAATGATTGTTCTGCTAAATATAAAGTTCAAACATTGATTCACTTTGAAATGCCAACTTTATAATTTTGACTTTAAAACAGTGTGCGTCAGTATTGCTATAATCGTACAACACTCAAGTATGGTAAGTGTATATATTTTTTCTATTCTTTATTTTTGGTCAGCAGTAAGTAAGAAAAATATTAAAAATAGTGCAGCATGCACCACAATCAAACAATGAGTCATACGGAAAGGATATCACATAACGAACAGTGCTCAGTTATAACCTGAAGGCATTCTTGTATCCAGATATATTGAATATACAATGGCTTAAGTTTTATATAAAATACATTAAAACAAAAGAAATAGTCTAAGTAGAAGCTGTGATAGGGGGATATGGTAAAGGAATATAATAATATGATGGCTCTGCAGATCCCATATATGGGCCGATTGAAGGCAAAGTATATCATAAGGTCTTCAGGTCAGTGAGTAGTTAAACTATGAGTGGTGTGCTCCATGACCCTGGAGCAGGGGGGAGGCGGGCATGAAATATGTCTAGTCAAGACAACGTGGAGTGAATAGCGAGATCAGACTAATGGTCAACTATGCAGAATTAAAAAAAAAAAATCATAGATTCAACAGGAAATCATCCCCACTTATATACCCCAAGTACATCCCCACTTATATGCCATCTACTCTTGAGGAACCCAAATGTCATGTTCCCTTCATCCAGTATCTGCAACTGTACAAGGGGTGAAGAGAACAACTCGACACGCATCCCAGGAGAGACTAGGCACAGCCACGTTGTCAACAGATGATGTAAAGCCCAGTGTTTGCAAGAAGGCTGTAGACTCAGCTGCAGAGGTAAGTTGATGAGAGTGTCCATCCTTGAGAGCCATCAAAGTACGAGAGGGACCTCATTCGCAGCACATGTTTGTAGATCTCAGGGTCTTTGTGACCTGTGTGATGGACCTTCTCCAGTCCAGAGTTGATTGACAGATCCTGTAAGAACAGAAGCTGCATCTCCACAAACTGGTAGGGCTCTTGCACCGCAAAGCCACCAGAACTGCCATCCTATCCCTAAACAGGGGGTAGTGAGGCAGAACATCCCGGTTGGCCTCGGTTGGAACCCTAGCAGACTTAGGCAGCCAGAAGCAGTTGTCATGTTGTATACCTTCGGCTTGGTGTTGGGGTAGGACAGTAACCAGGAGGCATCTGATAAAATATGGCAGTTTTTACCCGTCGATTGTTTAAAAAATACCCCAAATTTTCAGATTGTTGCACCTCTGTACATCGTCCAGGATGTCCATTCTGATGAGAGGCCTAAAGTTGATGTACCCACTCAGTGGTATCTGCTTGCCTTTTCCTGGTTACTGAAAGGTCTGCATTGAAGAGTTCCCTAATATTATTGTTATAGGACTTTGAAGTCACCCTTGCTGACTGGAGCCGTTAGGTAATGAAGAGTTAAGGCCCCCTGTGTATGTAATTTCGTCAGGAACATCCATAATTTCTTCCTCTGAGGAAGACGGGCTGGTATCAGGCTGTGCCGCCATTTTAGGTTTAAGCCGTATTTCAGCAGGTCGTCTATGTCACGGGAACCTTCCCCTGCAATGGCTTTAAGCCTCTTAGCCTGCTTCCCCATGTCAATCCAAGGTACCGGGATCAGATCCTTGGGAAAATCAGCGAGTGGATACAGAACCATTGCAATGTGTAATAGGTAAGCCGCGGGAGAGGTAAATGTATATTTTTATGCAAAGAAGAGGTCCTGCAAAAAAAAATCTAAATCTGTGCTTACTTGCTAGAACGTGAGATTTGTCATCCATCACGAAAACCGTAGAGAGGTAAATAACCTATACATGGGGTTTCCTGGTCAATCTTTTCATTACTAGGAGCAACACCACCAAAGTCATAGGAGGGTATTACCCTGCTAGAAAATTGAGAAAGCTCGAAAGTTTGTTATTTGTTGAAAGGTTTCTGTTAAGAGCCTTCACATTGACTCTGTGAATATATAATACATTATGATAGATATATCATGTATTCTAAAATAAATCATTAATACAAAACAGAGAATATAACAACTTTGAACAGGCAAAAACTTGGAAAAACTCAATAGTTTGCCCTTCAGTTAGACATGTGCACCAGTGAAATTTGTTTTGTACGAATGATTTCGTACAAAATAGAAAATGTATTCGTCAATCCCGTATTTCGTCCACAAGCCATTCGTTTTCGAACTAAAGTTGTTAAAAAATTATTTTTTTTCGTCCACTTGGACGAAAACAGCACTGTGCATACGCAAAAAAAAAAAAGCAAGGAGGGAGCCGGCAGCGCTACCAGCTCCCTCCTTGTAATAAATAATATTAATTCCTATATTAATTCCTACCTCTCCCCCCAAAACCTAAAGACCTTTAAAAAAAAAGGGGGGGAGTTTAAATCCTCCGGCATGCCCCTACTCGCGGGTCCCCCCATTATTTATTTATTTATGTAGAGTCCCAATCCACCGCTCATGGGTGTGAACCCATGTCCCCCCCATTATTTATTTATTTAGGGTCCTCACCCGCCGCTCATGGGTGGGGACCAGGGGGGACATTAGGTCCCCCCCATTTATATTAATAGCTCCCACACGCGGGTCACGGGGTGGGCCCTATATCCCCCTCATTTTAGTTATTAGTGTTCCTCACCGTGGGGGAATGGGGACCTGTCCCTTATTGCAATAGCTGCCCAGTCACTAGTACTTTTACATTTGTTTAGGTGACATGCCCCTACTCGCGGCATGCCATCAGTAGGGGCATGCGGGAGGATTTAACCTCCCTTTTATCAATATGGGGTTATAGTGAACCCCATACTGATTTATATTTAGTTTAAAATGACAGCGAGCAGCCACTGTCTAGGCAACGTTATTTTTATAGCGCTAAAACATTCTGCAGCGCTTTACAGTGGGTAGAAGAACAAACATGTAGTTGTAACCAGACAAGTTGGACACACATGAACAGAGGGGTTGAGGAGCCTGCTCAATGAGCTTACGTGCTAGAGGGAGTGGGGTAAAATGATAGCATTAGACTAATGACAGTTGCAAGAGAGGAATCAGTCGGGAGCTATTAACATATGCATAGAACCCCAGACAGAAATGGGATACGGCTGTACAATCTATAGAGGGAACATATAAAGGAAAAAACACAATAGTGTGATACAGTAAATACAGTGAGTAGTGCGCTTAAATGGATGCACTCACGAGATGATGAAGATGAAAAAGCATTCATAGGGTGCCTCCCCAGATAGCATAGGGGGCTAGTGGTTTCCCCTGTCCGATGTAAAACGACCAATGGAACACGGGACTCCAAATAAGTAATAGTAGAAAAGCAATACTTTTATTTTCTTAAAAGGTGAACAAGCACCATAAGAATCAAGGTTTAAAAGTGCAGCAATAGGTCCAACGCGTTTCGTTCAAGACTAGAACTTCATCAGGGACCGCACAGTAAAAAAATCACAGACAATATCATAGATTGTAAAATAACATCCTACTTTCCCCTTAACAGAATCTCTATATATAGGGCTAGTCCCAAAGTCCCATTGGTCCATAGTGTAGGAGTATCCAGTAGCCAGCCAATCATCTATCCAGGGGTATTGTCCTCCAGCTGATAGTGTTTGGGTAGTTTAAAAAGGGCGCGTTCAATGTGAAAGCCGAAACCGGAAGTGGATGTCTGCCTTCACTTCCGCGTTCCATTTGCGTTCCATATGCGTTCCAAACACGCTCCAAATGCGTTCCAAATACATTCACTGCTCTTTTTCAACTAGAACAGCGAGGAGCCATCAATATAAGTGATCATCAAAAGGACAAAGCCCAAAAGTGTTAAATGCATTAAATGTAATTAATCTTTAAAAGAAGAAAAGTGAATTAGTGCATGTAATATACAACAACCATGTTAAGATAGTTCATATGGAACTTCCCCACATATTATATATATGACAATATCATACACCATTAAATAGTGCCATGTATGTCTATTTAAAGTGACAAACATCTCATTATTCAAAAAATAAGAACACAAATAATATATTCCTAAAAAAAGTTCCCTCAATATCAATAATAATAATTTTAAACCATATAACCTGCAAGGTACACCTAACTATATAATATAAAGATTTTTTTATTTTTTTTTATTATATAAATTATGAATTGTATTGATTAAAGACACTTCTTTTTCCCTATATTTAGACTGCCAGAGCTCCTCATATTCCCAAAGATACTTATGGAATAATTTACATAGAGGAGAAGAATAACCAAAAAATCAATCCAAGAAACACACCAGATCGATCCCAATATTCAGGCCCCTAGGTTCAAGGGTCTTTAGTTTGTGTATCCAAAAGGTTTCCCTTTGGGATAACTTTTTGATCCTATCGCCTCCCCGCCAGTAGGGAAGGACATGTTCGATACCCATACACTTAAAATCTCTAAAGGAGAAGGAAGGACAATTACTACAATGGGCAGAGACTGAATGAGTAACCAGTCCTTTGCGTATATTATTTAGGTGTTCCAAGATCCTGACCTTCAGGATACGTTTCGTGCGTCCCACATACTGTTTGCCACACGGACACTGCAGTAAGTATACTACATAGTCCGTGTGGCAACCTATTAATGATTTAATCTTGAAACCCTCCCCCGTGATATGACTAATAAATTCCTTAGTTCTCTCCATAGAGGCGGTGGTACATGCTTTGCACACATTACATCCCCTAAAACAACCCGATTCAGGGGGTACATTAGAACTATTCATTTTTATAGCATAGCTAGGGGCTAGCATATTTTTAAAGTTCTTATTTTTCTTAAATATCACCATCGGGCGTTCAGACAAAGAATTACCCAAAATGGGATCCTGTTGTAATATGGGCCAAAAATCACTTAGGCTCCTTTTGATCTTAAAATGATCCGTATTGTATTGGGTGACAAAGGCTGATTTAAAATTCTTATTCCCAACAGTATTAGGAGGTTTATCCTCTAGGAGTTTGTTCCGTTCAAGGAGACCAATTGATCGAATTTATTTTTCTAACGTATTCTTATTATAGCCCCTTGCACATAATTTATTTTTTATATGGGAAGATTGGATCTGGAAGTCTTGAGGGCGAGAACAATTGCGTCTCAATCTGGTAAATTGGCTCCGTGCTATGCCCCTAAGCCAAGGCTTATGGTGACAGCTTTGTTGATGTACAAAGCCATTCCCATCTGTTGGTTTAAAAAAACATTTAGTTTGAATTTGACCCTGATCACAAAAAATATCAAGATCCAAAAAATGGATCTCATGTTTATTCCACTCGGGGGTGAAGACAAGGTTGTATAGGTTGGAATTTAAATATTGAACATAATCAGAAAAACTATTGGAGGACCCCTTCCAAATGATGATCACGTCATCGATATAACGCCGCCAGAGCACCAAGTTCTCCCTCCAGTCATGCCGCGACCACACGAATAATTCCTCCCATCTACGCATGTAGGTGTTGGCATAACTGGGGGCGAACCTGGTGCCCATGGCGGTCCCTGTGATCTGTAGATAATACTGATCATTAAAAAAGAAAAAATTATGTTCCAAAATAAATTTTACTGAGGTCAATATAAATTCCTTTTGACCTTGAGATAGGTCCTGATCTTGGGACATATAGTAATCAAGAGACTCCAATCCTAAACAATGACTAATTACCGTATACAGAGAGGTCACGTCTAGCGTGGCCCAACTGTATTCAGGGTCCCACTCAATGCTGTCCAGTTCTTGTAAAAAAGACTTGGTATCCCGTATAAAGGAGGGTGCCCCTTGGGCGTACTTTTGAAGGAAAGAGTCCACATACGCGGACAGATTAGCAGTGAGCGAGTTAACTCCACTGATAATAGGGCGACCTGGTGGATCAGGGAGGCGTTTATGAGTTTTTGGGAGGAAATAAAAAATCGGAATCACTGGACTTTTTTGAAATAAGAAATCAAAATTTTTTAAAGATATGATTCCATTGTCTCTAGCCGTAGTCAAGATTTCTTTCAGTTCTAAATTATACAATGGCATAGGGTTATTCTGCAGAGTAATATAAGTTTTTTTATCCCCTAAAATATTAAGGGATTCCTTCAAATAATAAGACATAGTCATCAACACAATACCACCTCCCTTATCAGCCTCCCTGATCACCAGGTCCTCTCTTTCCATAAGATGTTTTAAAGTAGCTTCTTCCCTTTTTGTTAAATTAAAGGGGCGTGATCCACTATTTCTCTTTTTAGCAATAGATTGGAAAGCCTGATCAACCATATGTTCAAAAGTTTCTAAGAAGGGGCCCTTACTTTGAACCGGAAAGAAATGAGATTTAGGTTGAAACCTATAGTCTTCCCTTTCAGATACAGTATCTATTTCCCTCTCAGTGGTAGATGGATGTAGGAGGAAATGTCTTTTTATGGTTAAAGAGCGTATAAACTTTTTAAGATCTATATAAAGGTCAAAGTCATTCGCCTTTTTATTAGGGGCAAATTTCATCCCTTTCGAGAGTAGGTCTATCTCCTCAGATGTGAGTGGAATTCCAGTTAAATTAAAAATACCTCTACTCCTTTCCTCCTCATTGGTAAGGGTGGCAGGACTAAGACTCTGATCTAGTCCTCTGTTCTCACCCTCTTGTGTGGTGAATCTTGGTATAGAGGGGTGA